CTGTTTATCTTCCCAGGAAGGCACTTCTTACTGAAGATATTCACCTGTGATCGTACCAGGTTTCCAAATAAATACTTCCATCGTTACGTTTATTCCCAGTCGCAACTGCAACGGAGCAAACTAGGAAGCAGACCCTATTAATACACACTTAATTGACACATGCTTAATTTTAACACCTGAACAGTCCTGTCCAAGGCTGCAGGACTACAGGCACGCAGACAGCTAACTCAAGTACTTGCAGCACAGAGGAACGCATTCACACACACAGAGGTTGCACCTGCCATGGGATGTGATTTACCACGTAGGCTTTTCTCTTTTCAACCATCCGGAACTTTTCTTCATCATCTCCACCAGCGTCTGACTGTCAGGTTTAACACCCAGCCGACAACTCCTCCCTCCACGCTCAGCTCCATAGGTGCCCCGGCTCACCCCAAAGCCACGGCCGGCAGCCATAGGGCACAAAGCCCGGCCCCAGCTGCCCGCAGAATCGGACCGGAGCGCAGGAAGCAGAGTAGCGCTCCGAATAACAGCAGCAACGCGGCCTGCAGCCACGGCAGCAGCAGCGACAGGCCCCGCCGCACTGCTCCCCTCCGTGCAGCCATGGCACAGATGTTTTGGTCGCCACGACGAAATGGAATTAAGCACACACGACCGCCGAGCGCCCCAGCTCGCGTTCTCCATCCCCATGTAATTAAAACAAGACACCAGTAACGAGAAGGTGCTTGGCGGACGCGCCTACATCACACAAAAGCCCCGCGGACGGCTAGCTGGGGCTCGCAGGCCGCAACAAAAAGCTCCGGAGAAGTTCCCCGAATTCTCCTCCTTCTCGATTCCCTACACAGAAACGCCCCGGCGGCACCCCGTCCCCCGCTCAGCAGCTCACAGCGCCGCCGGGCCGCAGCGCTCAGCCCGGGGCGCTCCGTGTCGCCCGCAGCCCGGTCCCGCGCCAGGCCGCCCGCTGCCCCCTCTTGAGGCCGGCCTCCGTTTCCCCGCTCCTCGCTCCGGCGCAGCGCGGCCCGCCGGCGGCTAGGCCCGGCCCAGATCCCCGGCGTCGCGTGGCGAGGCCCGCCGGCGGCCTTACCGCCTCCACGGCGTGCTGCAGGATGGAGGTGAACTTGGAGAACATCCTGTCCCGCGACTGCAGCAGCCGCTGCCGGGAGGACCGCGAAAGCTCCTCGATCCGCCGCCGCCGCTCCAGGGTGAGGGCCGCATGCGGGGTCCCGGCCGCGGGGATCGGGAGGGCGGACGGACGGCCGCCGGCTCTGCCTCTCGCTCGGCGGCGGACGCGGTGGCGCTGACGCCGCCGGGCTGCGGCTGCCGAGGCTCCTGGTGCCCGCCCCGGCGCGGCCTGCAGGGGCCGCCACCCCCGACTCGCGGCCCCCGCTCCGCCCCGCTCTGCCCTGCCCGCCGGCCTCGGCGCTACCGCTGCCCCGCTGGGATTGCAGTGCGGTTGGGCCGCCTCGGGGCCTGCCGCGGTTGGGTTCTCCTCTCGCTGTCCACCTGGTGTGTGTCAAATGTTTCTGGGTCTGTGCCCCTCGCCACAGGGAGCGGCCTGGCTAGCCGTCCCAGCTGCGTTTCAGTGTTCCTTGGGTGGGTCGGAGTCTGAAGCTGATGTCTCCGTGCAGCAGTGCTATCTTCAGGGTGACAGGATGGGTTGGGCAGAGGCCTGGGTCTCTGCGATCTGGGGAATTGCCATGAACGTAATGTGAGAGAGCTCATGGCAGTGCATCTCATCTGTTGCACTGCTCTTTTTTCCCCAGAAGATGGATAGTATGCGTCTTCCTCCCTTTGAAGAAGACCAAGTGGGCTTTACTTCACCTCCAAGCCAGATACCTCAGAGAAAAGCTCACCCTCCCCATTATTTCATGCTGTGGGAAATGCAGAGATAAGGGAGCTGGACAGAGGTTACAGGGGCAGCAGGTGGGCAGTGCCATGTTGGGTGGCACTTGGTTGGATGTTAGGAAAAATTTCTTCTCATGAAGAGTGGTGAGGCATTGAAACAGGCCAGACTGCATAGGAAGGTGGGGCAGTCACCATATCTGGAGATTTTCAAGAAATGTAGAGTTGTGGCACTGAGTAATGGCATTTAGTGGGCACCGTGGTGATGAGTTGATGATTGGACTTGTTGATCTTAGTGTTTCTTTCCAGCCTTAATGATTCCTTGATTCTGGGCTTTAGGAACACCTGCTATTTATGGGGTGTTGTTTAGGCACTGAGCAAATGGAAGGAGGCAAACCAGACTGATCTGGCATTGTGTGAACAGAATGAAATGTTGGGAAAGTGACATAGCTAGTACCTGTAATTCCAAACAGGGAAAAACTTTCTCATTAATTGTTGGAGACTGATGAGCATCAACTTTTTCATGTCTTAGGAGTAAGCACAGGGAGATGAATCAAAACTACCTCTCCCGTGAAGAAAGGCTGAGGGAGTTGGGCTTGTTCAGGTTGGAGAAGAGAAGGCTCTGGAGGGACTTCATTGCAGCCTTGCAAAGGTAGACTGGCTTTCTACATAGTCTGGTAGTGGTAGGACAAGGGGGAGTGGCTTTAAAGTAAAAATTTTCTGAAGTGCACAGAAGTATTTCTCACTGCTGGGAATATTGGACAAATACTGGCAGACCAATGTTTCTGTACTAATGCAAATCATTGGAGAATTAAGGGGAAAATTACTTCAGCAATATCGGTGTAGAAGAGCACAGCTGAGGTTACATTCTGTTTGGATACTGCTTGTCACTGGAGGTGATTCAACTGGGGATGAATGAACAGGTTACCAATGCCATGTTGTATGCAAAAACTTCACCTTCTCATGCCTGATGTTGTTTCCACTCAAATAAATACAAGTGCAAATACTTATTTTAATATTCTCAGGAGTAGGGCTCTGCTATTTTTGCTTTTAGGTGGCAGAAACATTATGGTACTGTTTTATTTGAATGTCAGTAAAGACACAATTTGAAAGTGAGGCTGTTTTAATTGATGGAGCTTCTGGGAACTAACTTTTCTCTCTTTTGCAAATTAATGAAACTGTCAAGATTAAATCAATTTAAGTGGACTGAGGCAGTGAGATAATGTGCTAGTCTTTCTATCTGGAAATCTCTGTGCTATTTAGTTCGATGGCACCTGGCCAATCTCTAATGGGTATATTAGTCTGCATTACAAAAGAACTTTCTACAGTCTGGACTTTTTCTTTGGTGAGGTCCAGGACTTGGAGGAAGGTACAGTTTTCTACCCCAAGTGAAAATATGCTGGTAGAGCTTTGTAGAATTCCTGTTTGTACTCTGCACAGGAATTTACATTTATAATTGCATGGGAACTGTTGAGTCATGGCCTGAACCACTGATTGAAGATCTGGGGAAAGGACATGGTCAGCCCTGGGAGCAGGGGTGAAGGCAATTCAGCTGTGTGACCAGAAGGGGTGAAGCCAGGCTACACGAATCTTAGATTTCATTTAAGAGCTGACTGCCACTGGGGAAGGATATCTTCCTGCTGATCTCTCCTTGGTGAAGCTTTCCCCTGTGAACCTAGAATCTTCTGGTATGGATGAGCAATCTTCTTCCCTTCTCTTATAGCATCTCTCTGTTTTTCCAGTCCTTTTGTTATCACACCTTTGTTGTAACACCTTCCCCATCATATTGATCTGTCCAATTGCTACAGTAACAACCAGAGCCACATCTACATTTTCAGTGACTACTTTGATGAAATGAAGAATGAAATGTGTGTGGTTCTGTATGATCTCTCCTTTTGGGGAAAAAGACATTTAAATTATCTCTGTACCCTTCTGATTCTGGGCTTTATGTGTTGGATACCAAACAGCATAAGCTGTGATTGAAGTCCAGACTGTTTTTACTGAGTTTAAAAAGTTTCTGTATATTTCTGTTCCACACCTACACATCTGTTTTTTTTCTGTACAGACATTCATTTGGCCTCTGCTGGCCTATAAACTTCCTAGTCTTACTAATTTACCAGTCACATTTGCAGGTCTTTTTATGTCATCACTTGTTGTGGGTGTCAAAGACAGAATATTGGAAAGGACAGGCAAATATTCATGCCCAGTGGAGTATTTCATATGTTTGTGGTTCAGTTACACTGTTTATGCAATACAGCTGTGTTGCATGAAGGGCTGTAAAGGAGACCGCAAGGAGTTTTGTCTGTTAAATGAGACATGTATGTGTTCCAGGCACACCATGTTTTCCTTGAAAAACCTTCTATTCCATTTCAACCTGATAATCTGACCTTTTCCCTATAAGTAATTACATATGGATGTTTTGCCATGTGGTGTCTGCTAGTAGTAGCATGTAATAAATTACTGAAACCAGATAAAATACTCTCAAATCGATGAGTTGGGGCTTAGCTAATTTCATTGAAACATGCAGGTTGACAAGACCATGAGTTTACTTGTTCTTGTGGAACTGGAAACTGGAACGAAGAGATAAAGGGCAAAATTCTGGGTTTGCGCTGTATTGCAGATGTAATGACTGCATGAATCAAAAATAAATATTCCAATAAAACTGGAATTTGCCCCAAAATACTGGAAAAGTAATGGAGTTGCACTATGCTGGCTCTCTCAGTCATTTCTCTGTCTACTTGCAGGAAGGAAAGTCAAGCAAGAAGAATCTATATGTGTTTTGGGGGAGAATTTAGGTGCTTAGTCTTGACCCTGCTAAGAGACTTCTTAGTAGTTTTTAAATCAGCTCTAACTACATTTGTTTTCTAATGCATAATAAGATTTCATTGTTACTTATATCTTTGGATTTAGAGCTATAATCTGTTAATCTCTGAAATGTCATGAAGATAATCTCTTTAATCATATGCAAAATGCTGATCTCAATAGTCAATATAAGCTATGCAAAACAGTTCAAGCACTGTGCTACTGTGCAAGTTTAGTAGCTTTCAACAGATCCTTCTTTTACATCAGTCTGTTATTAAGGGTACACTTTGACTGAATTATCCATTCCAATGTATTTGTCCCAAGGTAGAACTGAAATATTTATGGAGTTTGATATCAAATGTTGGCAATGTAAAATATTTTAATTTTGAAGCAAGTAAAATATTTGTTAAGTAAGATACTTGGTAGTGGATTCATAATTAATTTTACATTATTACTGATAGCACAGTTACCTAGAAAGACAGAAAATATTTGTGTCACAAAATTCTCCATATATGAAGTTACATGACAAAAGTCCCGCAGTGCTCACCAATATTTGGTGACAGGCAGAGAAAGGGCTGTGTTTTTGTCTTGGGTGTTGGTAGGAAGCCGTTCCCAAGAGCAGGGGGCACGGCTGACCTGGTTTCATCTGCATTGCATGCTTGTGTTAAATGCACAACAGCAGGAATCAGAGAGAATCTTTTAACATCCTTCTTGGAGGAAGATAAACAACCCTATATATCTAGTTTAGAATGAATTAATATTACGAAGAAGTAATGTTAGTTCTGGGCTTAATTGGTTTTACTTGGCTTGTAAAAGCATTGGTTGTTGCACACGACAGCCCTTCATCTTAGCTGTTCACTTGTCCAGTTTGGTTCTCAAATGATGTTGTTTGAAGCTACAGAACGAGTCTGAGTTCTCAGACAGACTTATCCCTGCAGCCATCCCATCCCACATGATTTTTGCATCTTTACAACAACTACAGTGAATTTAGGGAGAGGCTTGAGTTAAAAGACACGTAGTTCCTTCTCGGGAGCTCCAGCTGAGTTCTTGGAAGAGTCCCTGAGTAACTCACAGGAATGACCATCACCACTGGTACGTCACAGTACATCCCCACTGCATTACTTTATTTGTAGGTGAAGATGGATGGAGTCACCTGAACGCTTTCAGATAGAATTGTATGCTCAAAATCTATACTGTGAGCCAAACTGCTTCCAGAAATGGCACGTATGTCTTGATCCTTTGTAATCCATTCTGAGTTATTAGCCCTGTAGGAATGAGCATCTGCACTTGGCCTTGAGGGAACTGAGCTGGAGGCACCACTCACAGAAAGCAAAGAGAATGAAGTCTATAGCAGACCCAATGCCACTCAGAAATGTTTTGGTTGCTCATCACTATTCCTTTGCCTCAGGCTCTTTAGGACTGGTTTGACACTGAGTCCTCACGTAGTGAAATGCTGAAGTAAGCAGACCTGCGTCTGTAATATGCCTAATATAAAGGAACCTGTTTCTGATTAGATCCTTGAGCAGTGCTGGAGTGCTTGGTTCCTGCCTGGCAGCTCATGTATCAACGCAAGTATCTCCACCCATTTAGTTTCTCTGGCTCTGTATCTGGGAGCTGTTATTCGGGTCCCCTGGGATTTTCCAGGTGCTGTCACACTGAGCTGAAATTCATACCCGGAGCACTTACCTGCTGCAATCAGACATGTGCAGCCCGCTTTTCCTTCTGCCTCTCCAGCAGTAACAGCCGGCAACAGAAAGCCAGTCGCTGTACTGCTGGTGCAGCACACAAATACTGTGTTCAGACAGAAATCTCAGCATAATTCCATTTCTTTGAGCTGTTGCAGAACAATTCCTCCCGCTGCTAGATCATTGCCTGCAGAGGGCAGCACGATCCAGTGTTTTACTCCAGAGTTCAAGTGGAGAATTCACTCATCTGCTCACATCTCTCTCTATCAGCGTCGCTTGGCATGGAATAAACAACTGAATATTGTGGAGAATCTGCGTCAACCCTAACCACAAAAAGTGGGAAAAAAAAAAAAACCACCACCACCAACAACAGAAAAATAGGCTTGCTTGACTTAGTTAAACCTTGTTTATTTGTTTAAAAATGTTGAAAGAATAAAATGACATGAGAAAACTCAGCTAGACTGAGATGTATCTCACGTGTAAAACAAATTTGTTTATTGGCAATGGATAAGAGAAATAAAATATCCAGAATACATGCACCTGAATATACTGGACAAGACTAGCAGAAGAAAATTGTTTTTATTTTATTCCAGATTTCTTCAGGAGGATTCTGAAATTTGTTTAAGCCGTTGTTAACGTGAATATGAGGTTGTGCCTTTTGTGCCTTTGGCTGACTGTCTTTGTGTTCTTTCCCAGGCATGTCCTGAGTTTCTATGAAACAGCCACCACAATTTTAATGAGATTTTGTCAGAAAGTGCGTCCAGATGCAGGTGTGTGCTTTAACTGCAGAAATGATTGGTGCCAGGATTGAGGCTGCAGCATAACAAGGGATAAGGCATTCAGTTCCTGAAGAAGAGCCAGTACTTTGTGCCTCTCAAATCAAATTGCATCCAACAGCTGATTAAGAAATGATCTTGATATGTGCTGAAGGGAGTCCTATCCTCTCCTATACTTCTCAGCCAGAGAGCCCTGTGATACGGTGATCAGAGTAGAAAATAAATACAAAGAAAATAGCATTTTTGGAATGAAGAGAGCATGAGCAATGTCTGGTTTCCAGGGGTACAGGAAGAAACCTGAGTATCCCTCATGGACAAATGTCGAGTAATCACCAATATGCTTTAACACTGATGAAGATAATTAAATTCTTTGGGCCCAGACTTCTACTGCATAAGCCTGGCAGTGCACAGCACAACATATACACTTCTCAGAGTGTGGCTCATTGACATCACAGCTATCAATCACTGAATTTTTTCTGATGATTCCTACAACTTTTTCCAAGTATCAGAGTGCTGAGAGATTTTAATTCTGGTTTCTTCATAATATTCTTTGATATCCTTGCAGTTATTCGTGAACACTGTGCACTTTGGCCATGACAATTGGTCACAATTTACATTGATGTAAAGATGGTCTGCGTAAAAACACTTCAGTGTTTAATCAACTCTGATTGCATAATTTCATCATGTTTGACACAGCAAAGTATCTGGGGTAAAGGGCAAAGCAGGACACACGCTGAGATAACACTAATTCTTGACACGCATTTTAAACCTCTTATTTATAGTTGACAACAAAGGCAGTTTATCTTCTAAAGACATACACTGAATACCAGATTAGAAGAAAAAAAAAATGATTTATGTGTCAAGGTCACAGCTGTTACTCACAGTGCATCCTTGATATGTGATCCTGTGAGAACCTGATAAAACCCAAATAAGTTTCTGACTCAGCGCTTTGGTGGGACCTTCCCAGTAAGGATGCACATATAGTGGTGGTACTGAAGTTCATCTGCAGTAAATACTAGCCAACTCATAGCTGATCTTTCCAAACCTCATTCTTAGAAATGAATTTGCCATTTTGGCCCTAATGCCTTAAGTTCCCAGAGGTAATTTAGCTTTTTTGTCTAAACCCAGTTTACTTAATGGATCGAAGAACAGAATCCATGTAGAGGCTAAGTGACAGCAAGGTATGTTGCACAGAGAACACAGTCCAGTATTTAGAGTACTTCTCTGGAAAGATGCACATTCTGTTCTTTACTCTTACATAATTTTCTCTGTGACCTTAGACAACACACTTAGCTCTTCAAGGGCATGTAAGCATCTGAAAATACCAGTGGGGAATTTGAAAGCATCTATTGGTTGGTAAAGTACTAGAATCTGTTTAGGCATCTCTAAAAAATCCCAAGGTGCCTGGCTGCATGTCTCGAAGCTCAGAAAGATTTCAAAAGCATTAATGTTAGTGTTGTTGGTTTTTGTTTTTTTTTTCACTGTCTAACTTGAGTTAGAAGCTGAAGTTGCCTGTAGAGTCAGTGGGAAAATGTAGGAGTAGAATCCTGCTTTTCAGTTGACTAATTCAGAAGCCTCAGGTAAATGCCTGCAATAAAACAATGTCGATCACTGCTTCTTAATGGACTTCTAAAGTAAGCAGGAGGTGGCTCACGCAACTGAACAGCTCAACAGCTTGCTGCTCAAAAGGATCAGCTCTCTTCCCTCTCTAATGGTCCTGTTCTTCCTCCCTCCTTGCTGGCTGTGCAGTTCTGCACCATCTGCCAGTTAGAGTTTACCTAAGCCTTAGGTGCTTTTTGTGGCTTTTTTTTTTGGTCTATCCTTCTGTATCCTTATCTGGCAGAACACTAACTAGCACAAGAAAGTGAGCTGATTAATGAACTAAGGTGGTTCCTTAAGGAGCAGACCAGTGCTGGTGCAGTGAGGGAGTGGGAGCACATGAGCTGGAGTGAGCGGGGGAAATGGCAGTGCACGGGAGGTGACTGCAGCTCGATTGGCTTGTCCAGCTTGTTTGACTCAGCATCTTTTATCTAAGTATTTGAGGTCTTCATCTGTAAAACGGTAATAATGGTGTCTGCCTTTCTCTTTGTACCGCCCTCTGCTTTCTCCTCAGCTCCCTCCCACCTTCCCTTAATACTGGCATAACAGGAGACAGCAGTCACAGAAGCTGATTCAGCCGCACACATGCAGATTGCATGGCTGGTACTTGCAGCTAATGAAGACATAGCCTCCAGAACTGGTAACTGCTGAGTTCCCACTGCAGCTTTTCTTAATTTTAGTCTCTCTTTGTAAGTGCTAATTGCTACAAAACTTGTATGGATGTAGAACTGTTCCTGAATTCCACTTTCTAATCAGTTTTAATTGAAATTCTTAATACCCAAATCTGGAAGTGCTTGAAGGGGATTTGCAGGACAGACAAAAGAAATAAAATTTCATCCTCAGTTCCTTAGAAAACCAAACTAAAAAGCTAATTTTAATAAATGAGTTCTGTATCTGATGTTGATCTCTCTGATCAATGTGTCTGTTAACTTCTCAGCTTTGGAAACTTGACACAGTAACTGGAATGGATTCTTTGTGTTCTATAGAAAACCAAGTCACAAACACCTCTCCCCTTCCTCCTTCCTAGCAGTATAAAGAAAGGAAATTCTTCATTACAAAGCTAATTTCTGCATGTTCCTGAGCTTTTCTTGTAAACCATCTACTAAGTATCCCCCTGGAGAACCCCTGATAATGCTACTCAGTGACTCACTGAAGGAAGTGCATAGGAAATTACTCCATTAAAAATACAAAATGCTGTCATGTGACATTGAATGAGGAGATCCTTGGCTCTTTTGGTACAAGTAAGAAAACCTGAGTGTTTGCAAGTGGAAAACATTACTCATTTCAGAAAAGAAGATGAAAGGGAACCTTTTTTGAATGGATGTCAGGTTATCGACTAAAGATAATGCTACAGGAGCTGGAAAGGATTCGGAAAACATGGGGCAAGAGAACAGAATGACAGAACGAGTATGGTTGAACCAAGGTGTGGGAAATACTGGGGTAATCCATGGCAGATAGAGCTGCATGTGACTAAAAGTCACTGGTGCAGATGAGCACGAAGGCAGTATCAGAGAGGCAGGTGTAGTGATCCATTTTTTGTGCATACATCCTGTGATGAGGAGGGATGGGTGTTACCCATTCTTCTGCTGCTCATGCTTTTTTACACACAGGTGCTGCCAGCCTGTCGGCATGGTGGGGAAAGTGAGCAGCACTTTGAAAGTGCAGTGGGGAAATGTACAGTATGGCTGCTATTGGCATCCATCTCTGCTCTGTGGGTGCAGATGCAAGCTTTGCCACCTCTCGGATAACAAGATTTTGGTAGCTTTTTTTTTTTGACAGAAAGATAGTGTGGGCTTCTTGCTGGTATGAAGATGCATTGTGCACAGTGCAGCAGGGAGGAGGAGAGCGGCTCAGTCTCTCCTGCCATGCAGTGTAAGTCCTCACTGAGCACCGCACTTTGTGCTTTCTCTTGGTTTCTAGTTGGCCATTCCAAAATTGATAAGTGTCTGCTCTAATGCTTGAATTTCAGTGTACCGATGTGGCCTTCTCATCTGTAATTCCTGTTGAACCAGCTTGTTTGTTTGCTTACCCCACGCCACCACCCGATGAACTGGTGGCATGGAGGTTGGTTTCCTTCCAGTGCGGTTGGGAGCGCTGGTGTTGACGACGAGGCTGTGCCGGGGAGGTGCACGCTGGGCGCTGCCGGCTGCAGGTTGGCTGTATTGAGGCACTGCAGGAAGAGGAGCGCTCTTTGCTGCATCGTAATGACAAGGCTGTTGCAGAGAAGCTTGCTATCGTTCGTATGTTTATATACTATTTACAGACAGATGTGTAAACACATCCTATTTATTTACATGCAAGCGTGTAAATAGATACTATTAACTTACAGCCCGTTTACACGCAGTTCCCGTGCTGTTCAGTGGGCGAATTCCCAGCTGAGCCCCTGCTCCTATCGCCTCGTTTGTACCTCCTGGCAGCGGCAGGCTTTTCAGAAGCAGCGGTGCGAGGAGCTCCGGCCGCGCTCCGTCTCAGTCGTTCCCGCAGCCGGTGCGCGCCCCTCCCGCCCGGCAAGCCGCTGCTCCCGTGCCCCCAGCGCGGTCCCGCCCCGCCGCAGCTGCCGCCGCTCGCGGCCCCGCACCGCGCCGAAGCGACGCCCCCGGCGCCGCCCCGCACCGCGGCGGTCAGGCAGGGAGGGAACGAGCGAGCGAGGCGGCCCCGCCCGGCCCAGCGCCTCGGCGCCCCCGCATAGACCGCCGCGGCGCGGAGGGCGCAGGGCGGTGCGGGCCGCCCGAACCATGTCTGCCAGAGGTGGGTGCGCGGGGTTGACCTTGCCGCCGCGCCGAGGCCTCGGGGAGCGGGGCGAGGAGGGAGGGCTGCGAGCTGAGGGCCGGGCCCCGCCGCACCTGTGCGGGGAGCGGGGAGGACGGGGAGCGTGGGGCGGTCGGGGCGCGGCGGTTCTGCGCTGTCGGGGCGCTGGGCAGCGCGGCTCCCGTGTCACCCGTAGAACGGCACCGGGTTGGGGCGTGGCGGCTCGCCCCGCTGTTGCCGCGTCCTCCTGGAGATGAACGGTGTGAAGTTGTGTGCGGATCGGGTGTCGTTGTAATAACGGCCTCAGCTCGGGTGGCCTTTGTGGCTTCCGCGCGTGTTTCGGCTGTGTGTGCGGTGGGAACGGCTGCAGAGCCTCCGTGGTCCCAAACTTGAGGTTGAGCAGAGGCTGCTGCTTTTCAGGTTTAATTATGGTTTATGGCAATTAAAGAACCGGAGGTGTAAAGTTAAACATAACAAAAAAGATATATATGTAAGCATTGGTGGTTTTTTTCCTGAAAAAAAAAAAAAAAAATCACAAAAATGACAATTCAAACCACTCCTCAGTTATCTCTGCATTGAAAAAAGACTGTGAACAATACATATTGCAAACGAACAAGTTCCTGGATACAGGGATACGCCCTGCTTGTCCGCCCTGTATTTCTCTGCGTCCTGATGTACTCAGCACTGCTCACATGGATCTTCTCTTCCATTTGCTTGGATCATTCTTGGTGGCCAAACAAGCTCCCTGCACATGGAAGGCACTGTGTCTGCTGCAAGGCTGTCAGCACTTTGTGGCTGGAAGGACCATCGTCCTACAGCATCACACCCATTTTGGGTATAAATAATAAATGGTGTTAGGTCGCTGTAATTCTTTATGGCACAGTAGGTTTCTTGTTCTAGGAAGAAATGGACTGCATTGGTCTCCAAAGAGTCCATTTCTAGAAGAGCGCTAATTATACGAGCATCAGTGCTGTGCTAAGGATGCATTAGTAGTTGTGTGGAAGATCCTGCTGTCAGCAGGGCTTTATGATGTGCGTGAGGTGTGCTGTCCTCAAAGGGCTGCCTGGAGCTGAGGAAGCAGTGGAAGTACCTGGTGATTGCTGCTATGCAGAAGGCTCTCCCAAACTGGGAAACCAGGGAACATTCCCACTGGCCGTATTGCTGTTTTTTCCTCTCACTGTGCCCTTTTCCTATTGCATCTGCACAGCACACAAAGTGCTTGATGTCTGCCTGCTTCTGCTGGAGAGCTGCCTGGAGATGCGGGGGGGTTCTTTCACAGCCTTTCCCATGCCATCTCATTCTTTTCAGAGTAATTAATTGGACAGAGACTTCACAGGACTTTAGGGAGGCAGCCAGTAAGATTCATAAAAGAGATTAAGATTTTAATTTATATTGATATCCGCTTTTCAATTTTAGCAAATGAACTGAGCTGAAGAAGCAGCATAATCTGTGTGAGTTAACGGTGGACTTACTTGGTTCTGACCAAAGGCTCTTTGTGAATAAGGCAGCATAGAACATCTTTATTGTTAGCTGCTCTAAACACTACTGCTGCTAAAGGTTTAGATCTGAGTTTACTTTTACACACTTATGTGGTATAATAGGGTCTTAATAAGGGTACTCATGAGCATGGAGCTATGTAGGAAATACATCTGTGTGGGATCAGGGCTTTGTTTGAATGTTGAGTTGAGACTCTTCTTGATGGCAGATTAGCTCATGCATACGGAGTCTCATTAAAACCTGTACCAGTAGGTCTGCGTGTTCAGCAAATCTGATTATTAATATTTTGTATGATCATCATTATTCTGAATGCTTCAGATTTGAAGTTGTCTACTTGCTGGTTTATACAGGCATAACAAGAATAGCAAAAGAGTTAAACGTTTTCCTGTGACATTTTTATTGCTTATTGTTATTTACTTAATATTATTATTTAGCCGGTAGCACATGGTAAATTGTAGTTTTAATACAGAAAGTGCAGATAATAATACAAACTAATTTAATATTGCTGGAAATGGAGCCTTCAGTTAAAGTTTTATGCTTCCCTGCTGGGAGCTGACTGTCAGAGGGGTTGCTGTGAGCACTCACCTGTGCTTTAGGGTGAATTGGATCTGAACTGATCCTTTATTTTCTGCTAGTCTTCATAACTGTGTTGTTGATGTCCTTCTCACCTGTCCCTCACCTCTCTCTGTTACAAAAATGTAAAATCTCCAACCTTCCTTTGCAGCTTTGCTTCTAGTACAGCTCTGGCTGATGGTCTGACCAAATACCAGGTGAAGTAGCATAGATGAATATTCCCAAAAGCTTGAACAAATAATCAACTTGGAAATCTGATGATGGATCTGGGAGCTGAAATGAACTTTGAAAATCCCTTTTCACATTGCTGTCAAGTTGGAGTCCTTCCCAGGTCGCTCTCGTGACCTGCTCTGTGGCCTGCTGGGATCAGGGGAGCTGACGTCAGTCATGCTTTTCAATTGTGCAGTTTGCAAAGGCCTTCATATTGTACTTTCACTGTTATTAAGTAGTTGCTATTAGGTTTCATACATGACTGAATTCGGGTGTTGGAGTAAGCCGTGTAGGTTGTTGCTTACCTAAGGGCTTGTTTGTAAAGAGCTGTAAATTTGCTGGATGAAAGACATTTTTCTAAAGCCAAGTATAACTGTGACCTACTTATGCATGTTATCTCAAACTGCTTCAAAACTGTCAAAACTGCTTGTTATCATGAAGGTCTGAGTTAATGGAAAAATGGCTATTTTAAACTTTCCTAATCCTCATTTATGCTAGAGCAAACAAGCAGAAGTAGTACTGTTGGGTGGTCTTCGCTAAGTTTTTTTTAATCTAAACGTTGAAAGAATGAACTGTATTTATTCCAGTAGGCAACTCCAGGAACAACTGGAAGCACATAAAACACGAGGTTTATCAGTAGCAGTGCCTTTCTTTGTGCTATAGCAAAATCAGTAAGTTTTGACAGAAGCCAGAGTTAGATAAATATTATTGCTGTCTGATATTAACAGGTTGTGCTGTGCCATTCTGATATGTGGGTGTGGGATTTGTAGAGAAGGTAATTACATTTCTTTTTGTCTACTCAACAGTCAACGCAGTAGGATTTTTTTAGCATAAGAGTTTATTTTATACTACAATCTTTGTCTTTTCAGATTTGATTTTTGTAACAAATATAGATCAAACACAAATAAATCACCAACCCACTGGTGTAGGGATACTTTGTGCTCATTATACACGTGAGACAACTGAAATGATGTCTTCCTTTGCACAAAGCCAGGGTCAGAAGGGGAATTTCTGCCTTCTGGTCCTGCTCTCAGAGTACTCTGGGGCTACAAAGATGATGAAGGTCTGGAGAGGAAGATGTGTGAGGAATGGCTGAGGTCCCTTGGAATAGAGAGCTGGATGCTGAGGGGAGGCCTCACGGCAGCCCACAGGCAGCCAAGGGGCAGCACTGAGCTCTGCTCTCTGGGGCAGCAACAGGGCTCAAGGGAATGGCATGGAGCTGTGTCAGGGGAGGAGCAGGTTGGTGTTAGGGATGCAGTCTGCACCAGAGTGTGCTGGGCTGCCCAGGGCAGCAGACATGGCACCAAACTGCCTGACATCAAGAAGCATTTGGGCAGCAGTCTCAGGCATATTATCTGATTTTTGGGTGGTCCTGTGGGAATCCAGAATAGGACATGATGATCTTCATGGGTCCCTTCCAACTCAGGATATTCTGTTGCTCTATGATTCGATACTCATTGTGGCTACCCAAGATGACAGTGCATTCCTATGAGAAGGCAACCTACTTCACCTCATTATTTTGCTCAGATAACTTCTTTCCTCATGCCCTGTGTGGATCACTTGATGGATCTGTCGCACAGGTGTGAACAGATTTTGCAGTGAGAAATTTACGTAGTAATCTTGAGCTCCTATATAATCCACCAGTAACTTCAATTTTTCTTTCCTCAGTCCTCTGATCCCCCTCTGACAGCTGTAGCTGTGGCTGCTGGCAGTGATGCTTTGGGTTGAGGTCTCTGCTGACCGGGTTAAAAACGAGCTACTGTCTGCTGCAGCCCAGTGATTTGTTGTGGTCTGTGATTAGCACAGTAATATCAAAGGGAACCAGCCTTTCAAAAGGTGCAATGTCAGCTCCGTCCTGTTTGAAATCTGTTGCTGTGCTTTTCTGCTTGTTGTCAGAGGTGGTACTTTCAGTCTGAGAGACCTGGAGAGTGGGGCAGTGAAAACTGGCTGGGCATTCCCACTATTTTAAAAGCTGAGTTCAGCAGTTAGTTGCTGTGGCATCACACCCTGCCAGACCTAGTGATTTCCAGAGTTTTCCTTGGTGTGAGGCTCCCCAGGCTGCAGGAGCGTGTTCTTGGCAGGGCTGAGCACTGCAGTACCCAGGCAGCAGTGGAGCCCTGCCTGGAGGAGCTGTGCTTTGCAGAGCACAGAGCTGGCGCTGATGTCTTTTCTGTCCCCAGCATTCATTCTCAATTTCTTTTGTACTGATTTTGTACTGTTGTTTAATCCTCTCTGTACTTGCTGTTTATTTCCCCAATACATATGACAACTTAATTATTATTATTTTTTTCTTTAGTTACTAATTTAAAGGTTTGAACCTCAATCTAATGGTTTAAATAACTCAGGATCAGTTCCTGGATTACCTCTGCAAGCTGTATTTGTGTATATGCCAGAATCACTGTCCACAGCCTAAACTTTAGCACTGGTAGAGCTTCTGTTTCAATAAGGAAGAAGAATGGTTTTAT